CAAAATGGTGCTAAAAATTGATATGGAAGAGGAATCAATTAAAGGTGGTATAACAACATTGGCTCAGAATTTTCGCTGGATCATACAGACGAAACAATGGGGCAAGATGTGGTCAAAAGGGCTAAAATTTATGTTATGATCTCAAAGACAGTTTTTATAAAACAATACACCAACACTACCTCTGAGGATGCTTGCCATAGATGCAGGCGAAATGTCAGGAGAAATGCCTCTAGAACATGGCCCTATAGCGGGGAAAAACCCCACAAGAACCTGATGCACCAACAGTCTACAATTCTAGAAAAAAAAAACTAGAATGCGTAAACATATTTCAAAAGTATGGCAGAAGTATGAACAAGCTGGGAGATGTTATCATATGTGGTGGACAAGTGAAAAAGCTACAAAGTTTTGGATTCAAATGCTTAATGCAATACAGAAGATCATGAAGGTTTATATTAAGTTAAAGTAATGACCTTGTTCCTATTTATTTATTTATTTATTTACAGTATTTATATTCCGCCCTTCTCACCCCGCAGGGGACTCAGGGCGGATGACAGTGTACACATATATGGCAAACATTCAATACCAATTAGACATACAACGTATATAGACATACACAGAGGCTATTTTAACTTTTTCTGGCCGCCAGGGGAGCTGTCGCTTTCATCGTCCATCTGCGACACTGATGAAGTACTTCCGCGTTCCCCGCATGCTGGAGTCTTTTTATGGCCTCATAAATTAGTTAATTTAGCCTCCCCACACAAGGTGGTACCTAATTTTCCTACTTGACAGATGCAACTGTCTTTCGGGTTGCAAAGGTCGACAACAGGCTACACAGTTGGTTGGAAGCCCACTCCAACCCGGGCTGGCTTCGAACTCATGACCTTTTGGTCAGAGTGATCTAATAATGCAGCTGACACTCAGCCAGCTGTGCCACAATCCCGGTGCGCCACAATCCTACTGCTGCTCAAGTTGTTTCTAGAATAATGTGGCAAATGCACTGACAGTATTGACAGTGATGGAGTAGAACATTTCAGAGGGCTCTGTGAAGGACAGCAAAAGGACAAGATTCAGACAAGAAGTGACAATATGCACAAGCAACCAAACAAAAGAAGATTTGGTTTTATTGATGGAAAGAGAAAAGGCACTTTAAAGAGTCTTTGTGATACAGTTGCTTCCTGATTTTTACAGTGAAGATCAGAAGAAACTAGTGGTGTGATTTCTGGAAGCTGAGATGGTATGGATTTAGGCAGCACAGTTTTGATGATAATAGTAGCAGTAGCAAGACACAATAGACTGTAACAATGGTCTTGAGATTCTACAAGTAATTCACAGAAAAAAATGTTGCCCAGTCTCTTTTTTAGAGATAAAAAGTGGGGTACTACTGCTACTACTACTACACTACTACTAATAGGTATGTAAGTTTATTTTTGGATGCCAACAGATTATGAAAATGAATGCCTACAAAAATAAACCTTTCTGAATCAGAAGCATTGAAGTTGCAAACATTGTGTTAAAGCCAGCTATGTCATATTGTCAGACACAATATGAAAATTGTTCGGTATATAAAAGTATATAAAAAGGTATATAAAAGTATCACTAATGGATGGGGATATATAGTTACATCTCCTTAAGATGGAATTGTGTCTTTTTCACCCTCCATTTGGCTAACCTATTTTTTTTTTGCCTTAATAGACAACATCATTTAGAAAAATGAAACACAACCAGAGCTGCTGCCAGACACCTTCCACTATCACTGTGCATGCAAAATCAAGTGCAGCCCGAACCTACAAGCAAAAAAACCCCCTTTGCCTTAAACGTCCTAAATTTAAAGACAGCCAAGAGACCTGTGGGAAAAACATTAATAATAACAAGTCAAAAGGTTCCTGTCTAGTTATTCAGCGCCAAGAAATGACAGCTTTCTTTAAATTATTTGGTAGGTTTTTAGAATGCATTTCATAAAAGTATAGGTATATATGTATCTGCATTATATCACTGTTGCATTTCAATAGCACTTCTCAACACTGAAAGTGGTATTTTGAAAGATCGACAAGACTAACCTAAGATTATTCTGTCAGCTAAAGTGCATGCATTGAAGCTTTAATATCTACATTCATTCCAAGTTTGTGTTCATATTGGTTTTTATGAGGTACTGACATAAAATCCAGTATTCATGGGATATAACTTCTTTCTGTTTGTTAACCTGGTTAGAATATTCCTTCTAGCAAAATGTTTTGTAAGTTACTTCTGAGTTCATGGAAAATGTTGTTTTGATTTGCCTGGAAGTGAAGCAATGGAAAGGAAAATAAATAACCCATGAATAGATATTTCCACTTGGCCATTTTTCTTTCCTTTATACCTAATCTTCTTCAGCTATGATGAAGCAATTCTTTTTCTCCAGACAGATATGCTACTTTCTCTGCACCAAACCAGTTGTCATTTTAAATGCAATTTGATTTCTTTTAGATATATTTTTAAAACTCGTGTTTCCTGAGATTTATCAGAGATTATAGTTGGTATGTCATAGTTGCTTTATTTTACAGATGATGATTTAATTCAAGATTTCTTGTGGATGGATTGTTGTTGTAAAATTGCAGACAAGGTAAAGCTGGTTGTTATCATGAAATTCTTTCCAACTGTAAGGTGGGAGAAAATAAAGATTTTCTGTTTTTATTACAGGCCTAGTTGTGGAGGTTGTTTCCAAAAGGTACGAAATCCTCCCAGATTTGAAAAATGAGTTTATAGGTGGCACCACATGGTTGTTTAGGAGTAGAATATTACACACAGATAAAAACTATCAAAATAGATCAAATTGTTTTGATACAGGGCTTGAAAAATTGCATTTTATAGCAAAAGAATGCGTATCCTCAGCATGTTTTTTTTATAATTCCTGTAAAATTTGTTCAGATGGATTTAGTACTTTTTGGATACAAACTTCACAGCTGTGTGTGTGCATATGTGAGTTACTCATCACACACATGCTATAGCGTGATTTTCAACTGGAATGGGCAAAGTTCAAGCTTATGGGATCTGAACTTTGCAAACACGAAACAGCATCCTGGTGTAAAAAAAACCCTATTAAACATACTTGTATATAAAGCAACTTCATATATAAGGCAAGAGCAGGTTCTGAGGTCCAAATTATGGATTTTGCTATTATTTGTGGGTAAGGGAAGTCATTCCATAGAGGTGAGAAAACTCCAGGGTCAGCTTAGGGTTCTGCCACCACCACCATTTCCCTACCCAGACATTCAAAAAGGCCTTTTGCCATTCTAGGAGACAGTGAAAACCATTTTGAAAAAAGTTAAAGTATAGTATTACCTCTTTATATATATATAAAAGGAACCACCCCCTTCTTTGAGAACAGTGGTGAAATGCAACAGCTTAGTCCTCCCTGGGAGAACCTAAAAGGAGCATTGTCCCCTCCCTCCACTTTCTCAGTAGTCTTTTTTTGGGGGAAGTGTCCAAAGAACTGCCATTGCCATTTTCCTGCCCAGGCATTCAAAAAACATGACAAGGCTCATGTACTTTAACAGCTGGCTCTGGAAGTTTTTTGGTGCCATGAAATACTGTAGGGGAAGATGAAGAAAACCCTGGTTATGCTGACATTGGATTTAAAAGAACATGGTTGGATTTTGGTCCAAACTAGTTTTGCCTCTTTAGGTATAGAATTTGTCCTAAATTAGCTGATTATTATTATTATTATTATTATTATTATTATTATTATTATCTTCTCCATTTCTATGTCACCTTTCTTCCAGAGTGGGACCCAATGTGGTTTCCAAAACAATTAAAAAGATTAACAATCAAAATGTTAAGACGGTTTTAGTTGTAGAAAGTAAAATATTGTTATTCCATTTGGTTTTCAATGGATTTTAGTTTGTATAGCTTCTATGTTTCTGATGTTATAGAGTTGAGGGAGGGGTGGCTCCCTTTTTGTGTATTTACATTTCTTTTTAACATTTTAGCTTGGGCCCTTGTTATGGTTCAAAGAGTTTACAAATCTTCCTGCCAAGCAATGACCTGTTACACCTTACTGCAAATAAGCCATTCAAATCTCTAGATATTTTATTTTAACAGTTTAATGACAAGAGACCATGTCAACATACTACATAATTATGGGCCTGCAGATGTTTTTAGGTTTCACCCATATGTTGGCTGTGCCTAATACATGCTGTAAGTCAAAAGCATCTGAAGAGCCATAGTTGCCACCTTTAAGGTCTGATTATCTATACCAAATTAAATTAATATAAATTAGTTATGTGCTTTTTGTGTTAATGTCACCAATTGATTAAGAGGTGCTTTGTTATCCTAAGAAAAGTAATTGAAAATGGGGGCATAAATATTTTATCTTTCTCAACAGTACCTATTGGCAATGACTTTTGTTTATTTCAAGAGAGCCGGCTACAGTATAAATGAACATACCAGGCTCAATTTCTTTGTGGCTCTGTAAGTACTCTGATTACAACATAAGTGACAAAGTTTTATTCCTTGAGAGAGGCAGTTAAAACATCTCTGATGCATTGAAGAAATTATTAGTGCAGGATCTTTTTTTCAGGTTTGCAGATTATAATGTCCTAAATCTGATTGTTAGCTAAAATTAGACTCATTAAATCAACAGAACATGATTCTTTAAGTCTACTTTGTCCAGAACTAATGTCACATGCTATGTGTTGAATTTAAGCCAAAGTTTTGATCCAAGGGTTGTTGTAGGTTTTTCCGGGCTATATGGCCATGTTCTGGAGGCAATTTTTCTCCTGACGTTTCGCCTACATCTATGGCAAGCATCCTCAGAGGTAATGAGGTCTGTTGGAACTAGGAAAAATGGGTTTATATTAGGGCTGGGCGATTTCGTTTGTTAATTTCGTAATTCATTATTAATTCGTTATTTTTTTTATAATGAAGCGATATTGAACCATTCAGGAGCAACTAAAAATCGAAACGAATTTTTCAATTCGTTTCGTAATTGTTTCGAAATTTCGAAATCGTTTCGAAATCGTTTCGTTATTATTTCCGCATGTCTGGTGCAAGTTTTAGGGTTGCTGTTTGTTTTCTCAGTGAAAAAAATATAATTATCGCACCAACAGTCAACAACAGAGGGAGAGGGAAGCTTCAGAAGTTCCCCCTGTCCCATTTGGAGGTTTTTTAGCGTATTGCGCGATCGCGTCCGCCATTAACGAATCGATTCGTTATTGTTTCATAATTGTAATTGTTTCATAATTTCCGAAATTTCGTAAATTTCGAACTTTTTTAAAGGAAAATTTCGGAATTCTTTTAAAAATCGAAACGCAAAAACCCCTAAAAACGAATCGAGTTTAGAAACAAATTTTTCCGTGGTTGGCCAGCCCTAGTTTATATATCTGTGAAATTACCAGGGTGAGACAAAGGACTTTTGTTTGCCCTGGTCATTCCAGGGCAAACAAAGGGTGAGACAAAGGACTTTTGTTTGCCCTGGTCATTCCACAGATATATAAACCCATTTTCCTAGTTCCAACAGACCTCATTACCTCTGAGGATGCTTGCCATAGATGCAGGCGAAACGTCAGGAGAAAAATTGCCTCCAGAACATGGCCATATAGCCCAGAAAAACCTACAACAACCCATGGATTCCGGCCATGAAAGCCTTCGACAATACTTTTGATCCAAGGTTACATAATCAATATTTACAATAAACCTATAGTTGATTTTTGCAGAAACGGAAAAGTGAATAAAACAAAAAATGAACTTCAATAAAACATAACAATAGAGGGGCACTCAGGCTGTTCAAAAAAGACCATATGGTGGGAATAGGATATTGTTGGGAACTCTAGCAAAGTTTTAGACAAGTTATTTTTTCTTGAAGTCCTCTTTTAAAATGCCAATAGTTTTACCATTGATAAGATAGAGCTTCTGCAACAGTGCTTGGCACTTGAATAGTGCGTTGTTGCAGTCAGAAACTTGGCTTATGATGCTTTGTTTAGATAGTGGGTGCATTTACACTGTAGAATGAATGCACTTTGATACTTTAACTGCCATAGCTCAATGCTATGGAAGTTTGGGAGTTGTCGTTTAGAGAGGCACCAGCACTAATTGGCAAAGAAGGCTAACTATCTTGTAAAACTACAATTCTCATGCTTCTATAGCACTGATCCATAGAAATTAAAGTGGTGTCAAACTGCATTAATTCTACAGTCGACACACTCTCTCAAGTCACCTTGCTTCCTACAGCCTCAAATGGCTTCTCCCTTGGTTATAAAAGAAAAAAAAACCCAAAGTGTCTCTAATCTTCAACTTTTTTGATTGGACTAAAGAATGTAGCTTAGTTTTCAAACAAATAGTTACAAGGCTTAGGCGTGTTATAAATAGAATGAAATGCTTGATGCTACTAAAAATATATTGTTTTTGTTTATTTTGCAAGAAATTCACAAAATATACAAAAATAATAAGGGCAGTGATACATTTTCAAGCCTGCAAGTGCTAAAAACTTCATTTATTTAAATGTAGTTTGAACTTTTCAGAAGTCTGAAATCTTTAGTTTTACGTTCTAGGTGTTTGTTGTTAGGCTAAGATAAATAAAAGAAATTTTGTGGAATCAATCTGACACGAAGCCAGATTTAAGTACGCGTCAATTGTAGGTACCTGGCAAATACGGTTGAAGAAGATGATGAAGAGTCAAAATATGAGATTTTTCCATGGGCATTAGGGAAATCGTGGCGGAAGCTCTTCCCAGATTTCTTAGTTCTAAGGGATGAACTCTGGAGCAAGATGGACTACAGGGCTATTGTGAGCAGACGCTGCTGTGAGGAGGTAAGGGGATATATTTTATATAGAGACAGGTAGCTAGATAGCTAGATAAGAGAAAATGAATTTAAAATTCTCCTCTATTTTTGCAATTAAGCCTTTGTATATTTTTTTGCAAACTATATTGAGAAGCTATTTTAAGCCTTCACTAAATTATGGTAAGTGGCTGAAATATTTACTGTGAGACATCTACCCCCAATCACCTCTGCAATGCAGGAGAAGACAAAGTGCAGACCATATTGTATACGGCCTCTCAAGGGGTCACTTTCTTACCCACGAAAAGGCAAAATGATATCTATGGGGTGCAGAAGGTATTTCCCCATGTTTACCTTCCTCCCACCCCACTCAGCAGGCATGTAGCCAGGGGGGAGCTTGGGGGGCTTCACCCCCCCCCCCCAAATTCTCATGGTGGTCTGCGAAAAGGCCTTACTGGTACATTATTTAAACTGTTATGTTTATTCATATCATGATCTGATCACCATACTCAATATATCCCATATGCATGGGGGTATTGGGGTAACGATAAAAAAGGTTTGCTAGGGTAGACCCTCTTTCACTCAGACTCAGCCCCCCCCAAACAAACTCAGCCCCCCCCCCCCCATTGAAATCCTGGCTATGGGGCTGCCACTCAGGGTCAAAACAAAAAAATTGCAATTGTTTTCAAGAAATTGTTTTGTCTCAAAGTGCCGCCTAGATAAACTCACATGTCCTATATAAAACGTTGAGGGTAAAATGCTGAGGGAGGGAAAATGACTTCTGTGGGGACCAGATACAGCTTTCCAATTACAGAAAAGAGGAAAAATATGTTGTAAACTAGCCCTAATTAGATTTCCTCCCAGTAGCTGAAAAATGAGTGTTTGCAGTGTGTTAAAAAGTCTCACAATAAATGTCTGGTTTTGACACCAGAAAGATTCTGTTCTCTTGGCAGCTGGGCTTGATAATTTGAATGCAGTTTTTACTTGTGGTCTGTTCTGATATAACTTCATTTCAGAGCTAAGATTCTCTAATTTAGGTAATGGCTATTGCCTCAACACATTACATATGGCAGAGGGAACGTTCAATACATCATAGTGGAGCCACAAGAAACAACAATCGCAACGGTGTACAGATGCCTCAAGGACCTAATGCCACTCCTGCAGACTGTTTGCTTTGTGGGAAGAAAACAAGATCTATAAGGCTGGGATTGTCCTCTTCTTCCTCCAATGGCAGTCTGGAAATGACGGAGCAACACATACCTCAGGGAATGGAAGACTCTCTTTCATCTGTTAAAAATCTTCTTGAACCTCAAGGTTATTTTCAAGGTATGATGTGAGCATTCTAAATTCCACTTTTGCAAATAGAAATTGTACATGAGACACATCAATGGCTTTTTGAACAGGCCATTGACATTGATTAGAATTTTAATGGTTTAATGCTTGACTCCGGCACTTTGGATTGATACTTGTAGATAGCCATTTTTATCTGCAGGTACTGTTGTGTTTTATGGAATTTTAAATCTATTATGTGATGTTTCAATGTGAAATTGCTGTGTAAATGTTGTCATCATTTATACGCTTACGTATTGTGTATTTTATACGTGTGGCACTTTCAAGTGCTTTTGTGAGCCGCCCGTGGATATGGTGGAAGGATATAACCTTTTAAAAATTGTTATTATTATAAATAACACTTTCTACAAACCCTTTTTATAAGCAACAGTTTAGCAGGAAGCAGTAATTATGTCATGTTTATTAATTTGCTACATTTATATGTCTCCTTTCTAACAATGTGCTCAAGGCAATGTACACAATTCTCCTCTTCCCTCACAGCCATTTGGGCCTGACTGAGAAGGGAAAACTGACTGGCCTTAAATCATCCAGTGATTTATGTGGGAAAGTGCTGATCAACATGTAAATATACTAAGAACTAGTCTGGTAGATTAATCATGACATCACACTCCAATCTGAAGATTTCATCTTTTTTCTTAACTCCAAGTCCATTCTGGGTTTTGTAAAAAGCAGAAAAATTACTTAGATTTTTGTGTCTGTTTTTTCCAAAATAGATATATTGTTGGATACATTTTAAAAATATACTATCACTTCCTTATTATTCACAAGGGATAGTAATGAATATTGTATTTTGACTATACTTGGGTCAGATGCATATCCTATATACTTTCAGTGTGTGTATTTCTTTCCCCATTTTTCATAGATGGTAACAACCAAAACAAAGGAAGTAAGAATATTTGCCCAAGTAAAGACAGATCCATGGACTGGTTTACTGGAAACGAAGAATAGAAAATACCTCATCCAACAAATTTGGAAATTACTGGAATATGCCATTAATTTTGGGAATGAAACAGAAGATACATTTCAAAGTATTTGTTGTCTTAAGTTTATTTTTAAAATGACATATTTTATTGAAACATATAGTATCAAAAATCTAGTCCGTATAAATAAGGACTGGGTTTTTCCAAACTGGATAGGCAATAAATAATTACAGTTTTAATTCCAGTGAAGTGCACTCTTCAAACTAGCATGTAGCATTTGGAACATCATTTGAATATGCTGGATTAAACTTCCGCAATTTGACGAGAAATGCTGGTTTGGAAGGAAGAAAAAAATTACATGTATTAGTATTATAATTCAGAAGTAGTCTTGTGGCATAAGGTTTTATATTTTACATTTCTCTGTTTCAAAAAGTAACAAGGATTATAAAAACATAATAGTAGTAATGAATGAATATCTTATACAATACTTGCTGTGCCGTTCTTACCTGTGTGACCAGTTTGCCATGGATAAGGTCTAGCAATGTAAGGTGGTTTTGCACCATCAGAAACAAAAGCCTCTGGAATAAAATGAAAACATACACTTGTCTGACACCTTTAATTCCAATGCATACACATTTAATAGTATTTGGGGGGTGGATTCTTGAGTTTCCTCTACATCTTTACCCTTCTTCCTATTCTCCACATTAAGGGAGATATTTATGCTCTTACACATCTTTTACCCCTCAGTGATAAACAGCAGCAAACACCAGTCTCTCAAAGACTAATATGATGCATTCAGACTACAATTCCAGCAACATATGGCTAGTGGTCAGGGAACTTGTATTTTACATTAAGGTTCACATACAGTGCAGTATTTACAATAACAAAGTAAGAGCTTATTTAAATGTGTTCCCTACCATCGTGCTCTCTCTCTTCTGCAGAAGGATCATTATTTTCATCATGGCCATCCAATTCATCATCGAAATCTGGCTTTGATTCACTGTTTTGGAAAACGTTACCATTTCTCCATGAATTTGGAATTACTAACCAGTCTCTGTGTGTCACTTCTACTATTCTTTCACAAAAAAGGTTTAATTTGCTGGTTCGGATTACTTCCAACAGATCAACAACCTGGGTGATGCTTGAAGAAGAATTAATGTCATACATATTGCAGATGAATATATCAATCAATCTATCTATGCAAGTAATATGCAATAGTTTACCCAGAAGCCTAATAATATGACCAGGTTAATCCCACTGCATTTAGTTTAAATAAATGCATGCAAGATTGCAGGCTTAGATCTTAAGCCAAAATGAAATGTCTAGCTATCCCAACGCCCAAAAACGTATACAGATTAAAATGGGTCTCTTAACTGAAATACAAGAGTTAATTCAACCAAAGAGCTCAGACTATAAAATATGAATATTTAACAGAGCCGTGAAAAGTCATAGACTGATGCGTAACTGATTGGCCTTGTTTCAATTATGATATTACACATTTACAAACTTCCTTTCTCTTTACATTTAGAACTGCTCATTGTATTGTTGAAGGCTTTCGTGGCTGGAATCACTGGGTTGTTGTAAGTTTTTTGAGCTGTATGGCCATTTTCCAGAAGCATTCTCTCCTGATGTTTTGCCTGCATCTATTCCAGGCATCCTCACAGGTTGTGAGGTCTGCTGGAAACTAGGAAAATGGGGATTATATATCTGTGGAATGTCCAGGGTGAGAGAAAGAACTCTTGTCTGTTGGAGGTAGGTGTGAATGTTTCAATTGGCCATCTTGATTAGCATTTAATGGCCTAGCAGTTTTCAAGGTGTGGCTTCTTACTGCCTGGGGGGAATCCTTTGCTGAGAGGTGATTAGCTCTCCTTGATTGTTTCTTGTATAGAGTTCCCCTGTTTTTAAATGTTGTTCTTTATTTACTGTCATGATTTTAGAGGTTTTTTTTAATACTGGTAGCCAGATTTTGTTCATTTTCATGGTTTCCTCCTTTCTGTTGAAATTTTTCACACGCTTGTGGATTTGAATGGCTTCTCTGTGTAGTCTGAGATGGCAGTTATTAGAGTGGTCCAGCATTTGTATGTTCTCAAATATGCTGTTATTTAAGAAGCCACACCATGAAAACTGGTAGGCCATTAAATGTTAATCAACATGGCCAGCTGAAACATTCACACTTCCCTCCAACAGACAAGAGTTCTTTGTCCCACCCTGAACATTCCACAGATATATAAACCCCATTTCCCTAGTTCCCAACAGACTTCACAATCTCTGAGGATGCCTGCCATAGAATGTTTCTGGAACATGGCCATGCAGCTTGGAAAACACAACAACCCAGCTCAAAACATTTTTTAATTTTACAAAAACTAAAGTGTTTAAAATGTTTAAGAAACCTAAGCAAAAACTCCACATTTATTACAAAACCATTACTAGACAGCCATTTCAGATGTTAACCTAAAATAATCTAGGTATGATAATCATTGGTATATCAGTGAAGAATAAGCCTTTCATGCTAATGCCCATTCTTGCTATTCCTCTTCCACACACATTTTTGAAGATATTATGGTTGAAATGTTGCTTACAAACTAGGATCTGGTTCTGATTTGATATCCTGGTTTGTAAGCAGTAATCAAGCCACAGCTCCTACCATTAATACCATGGAAAACTGGAGTTAGTCAATCCTCTTTTGTGTTATAACAATTATTTATAAACATAGTTAAGAAAGTAACCACTGAAGACCTGGGTATGAAGTTGTCAATGGGAAAAACAAATGCTTACTTTGCAAGATATACTGTACAAACACCTCCCTCCTTAAGGTTCGGGATAACTGTAGGCAAAGCATTCTGGGGGAGCAACATATCCAAAGCTATCTAAGGAAGAAATATATATTTTTGTGACAGTTAAAGGAGAATATAACTAGTTATAATGTAGTCCTACTGCACATATTTTTAAATGGGACACTTTAAAGTTTATGCCAACAAAATCACAAACTATAATGTCCAACAGGGTGGGTATTCAGGACCAGGCAATTACATTTTGAGTGTCCAGAAGTCATTTAGGTTGTATCTACATTGCCCTAGACCCCTGAATCTGAACCCAGGTTATCTGATGATCCCAGATTATTTGACCCATATAATTCAGTTTAAAGCAGATAATCTGGGATAATATCATGGGACATAGAACAGTGTAGATTCACCCTCAGTCATTACTTCTGTTAATATGTCTTACTTAGGCATGTGGCTGATTGTCAGGACAGTGCTGGAATGTATTTGGAGCCTTTCTTTCAAAGCTGATGTGGTAAAGTATTCCAAGAAGAGTTCCTTTGCACTGAATCTAGTCTGGACTTTAAAAGACTGGAACAACTTTTGTTGTTGATATATTTTAAAAGGAACAAATCACATGCAGTCAGCTGCATTTGCCAGTACTGTGAATGCTATTCATTGAGCATTAGAAAGAATACAATATATTAGAAATGGAACACAAAGTTATTAAGCGATCCTAGGACCCTAGTTTGAAATAAAAATCAGTATTTTGTCAGTGCATTTGAAGGGAGAAGATGTTGCAGTCAGGGGAGTTTTAAACAAAGCTGCCACAATAGTGCTTGATCTTTTGGGACCCATCTACACAAGTCACAAAATCCAGTACTGATCCAAAATACTGCTGCTATGGATCAACTACAAATTCTGCCATGGTGAATCAGAATCAGTCTGCTGTTCACATATACCAGTGGTTCTCAACCTGTGAGTTTACAGATGTTTTGGCCTTCAACTCCCAGAAATCCTAACAGCTGGTAAACTGGCTGGGGTTTCTGGGGGTTGTAGGCCAAAACACCTGGGGACCCACAGGTTGAGAACCACTGACATATACCTTGAAGAAGAAACTCCAGATGTTATTTAACACAGGGTAAAATCAAGATGATTATACACTTCGGAAAAGACACAAATACGTACTGCATCAAATGTGATAGCTTTCAAATCCTCCACTGCTGTCAATATGTCTGCATTAATGAAGTCCACATTATCTGGCCACTCCACAGTATGCCCTATTTTCCATGCATCACACCAGGTCTGGTAGTTCTTCTTTGCCACTTTATGATGATCCTTCCTGATTTCATAACTTATAATACGCCCTTGTGAGCCAACTGAAAACAAAACAAGATAGAATTAAAGTTGATCATTGTCTTTATATTTTTATGAAACATGACTAAATGATATCAGAAATAAACTTTCCCCCAAATGTAAAAGAACAATGTTTAACACAGCTGTGAAAGTTTTGTACAATTAGCAATTATAGAATACACTGCCTTGTTAATCCCATTAGAAAATTAATACAAATAGAGAAGAATTGCCCTTCCTGAAAGTAATATTCTAAACAGAAACCTTATAGTTAATTTGATCAGAAGAATAACTGAACAAATAGATTAAAGGTTATTCCAAAAATCATGTCATTACGAAACATTATGATCAAAAGGCAGTTATGAAATATAAGAAAAAAAAAGGTTGCAAAATTGTTTCCAGTTATTTCATCTCTTGTCAAATGACAATACATTGGATTATCAAGTAATTACATATATTTTAGTCTGCGGTCCTAAACACTCATATCTTTGAATAACAGGTTTCTCTTTCAAAATAAATATACACAGAACTGCACTGTTAGTGAATGACTGAACTTTGACTAAATAACTGGATTTAAATGCCTTTGCTAAACTGCAAATAAAGGAACACTACTTGTTAACTGACAGAGCACCTTCCTAGCAATGTCTAAGTCTTCTGGAAGAACTCTGTGGTTTGACCATAGAATTGGACTAAATCTGCAAGCCTCCTTGAGTCCCCTCTCCAGTCGAGAAAGGCAGGATAGAAATTTTTTTGTTGTGTTAGGAGTGACTTGAGAAACTCCAAGTCGCTTCTGGTTTGAGGGAATTGGCAGTCTGCAAGGACGTTGCCCAGAGGATGCCTGGATGGTTTTTTTTAATGTTTTACCATCCTTGTGGGAGGCTTCTCTCATGTCCCCGTATGAGAAGCTGGAGCTGATAGAGGGAGCTCATCCGCGCTCTCTCCAGATTCAAACCTGTGACCTGTCGGTCTTCAGTCTTGCCGGCACAGGGGTTTAACCCACTGTGCCACCAGGGGCTCCTTAGGATAGAAATGAAATAAACAAATAAATAAATGACCTGGAGTTTCCAAGGTAGATGTATGAACCAAATTCATATTAATCAAACCCATAAAGGTTAAGGCCATAAATGTGGGGAGCCAACTGTAGTTAGGTGAGAATAGGCCCCATTCTACTTCCTCACCCTAGAGAATGGATCCACTTCAGATCCAGTTTCTGCCTCCTGCACAATTCTGGGGTTTGTAGTTTAGTGAGGCTGTTAAAGTCTTCTCCCTAAACTACAAACCCCAGAATTCTGCAGGAGGCAGCAACCGAATTTAAAGTAGATTCATTCTCTAGTGTGATGAGGTCTATGAGACACATCACACACTCAACTCCTCTAGTGTCAGCTTGTTGATGATACTCAAGTACTGTTCGTATTCTATGGCATCCAAATTTTCACCTGTAACCAACAAAAAGCCTACATGGGTTGTGCCAGAGCATGATAGCCATATCTAAACATTTGAAAGTATGTCATATTGAGGAGGAAACAAGCTTGTTTGTGGTTGCTCCATATATAAAGCAACAGATTCAAACTACAGGCAAAGAGACTCGACCTTGATTTTTTAAAAACTTTATTCCTAAAAATTGTATGGAATTTTCAGTTATGAAACTATAATGCCAAAGATCTTATCAAATTAATTAACAGTGGTCTATTTGCATCGGAATCTATATTTTCCCTGAAATCTCTAGCATTTTACCTGCTCTTGATAGAAATAAACTCATACCACCAGACCCAGAGCCAGTTTCCAGCACTGTATCTCCTTGGCTGGTATCCATTAGCAGAAGCATTGTGTTAATGTCCTAGAGATTTGAAGAACAAAGAACAAAGGAATACTTAAGCACATATAACCTGCCAATTGAAAAGTATTTCATCTGACTGTTTTTACACATCCAGGCTGGTAAGACAAAACAGATTCTCGGTGGATTTGGGGCCATGGTCCACACACAAATGCAATCTGTATAAATGGATTAAATACCGAGGTATGTTTTGATGCATGTCTACTAGAATCAATAGGACTTATTCTCACCTAAGTGCAGTTGGCTCCCCACATCTGTGGCTTTAACATGGGTTTGATTAATATGACTTTGGTTAATACACTCTCCCTTGGAAACTCCCGAGTCCTTTAGTGCAATTTTATGGTCAACTTCTGCTAGACACCAACCACAGAGTTCTGCTAGAAGTCCTAGACTTTACACATCCTAGAGAGGTGCTCTGTCAGTTAAGAAGTAGTGTTCCTTTATTTCCAGTTTATCCACTTTTTGAAGGCCCCCCCATCCCTGAACCCAGTGATTATATATATGAGGGTGTGCCTTAAAAAGGTTTTAATGCAGTGGTTCTCAACCTGTGGGTTCCCAGGTGTTTTGGCCTACAACTCCCAGAAATCCCAGCCAGTTTACCAGCTGTTAGGATTTTTGGAAGTTGAAGGCCAAAACATCTGGGGACCCACAGGTTGAGAACCACTGTTTTAATGCTAAGTACTGCAGGAGCCCCCGGTGGCGCAGTGGGTTATACCCTTGAACCAGAAGGACTGAAGACTGACAGGTCAGAGGTTCGAATATGGGGAGCATGCGGATGAGCTCCCTCTGTTAGCTCCAGCTCCCCATACAGGGACATGAGAGAAGCCTCCCACAAGTATGGTAAAACATCAAAACATCTGGGCGTCCCCTTGCAGACAGCCAAATCTCTCACACCAGGAATGACTTGCAGTTTCTCCATTCGCTCCTGACACGAAAAAAAGAAGAAGCGAAGTATTGATTACTACTGAAGAATAACGCATTTTCTTCAGCGGGGAGTTATTGCTGATATGAATGAAATAGCATGTTTGGAGGACATTAAGACATGGATCACCATTTCCGATGCCCATGGGTTTATAAGAGTGAAAACCCTCAATAAAAACTGGTAAGAAAGGTTTCCAGGGGTGCACCTACACTGTTGAACTAATGCATTTCAACACCACTTTAACTCTCATGGCTCTATGGCGGTCTGCTACATGCACAATGGAGGACCTTCTGAAAGTAACACCAGAGGAACTCCAAGTGGCTAGCTCCTAGTTAAAGGACATTTAATATAATGCCAAGTTTTTAAACTTTGTGCTTTTAAAATACATTACAACTTCTGTCAGAATTATTGAAGGTATGCATGTAAGTTTTTCAATGTGATTAATATGTAATTCAAGATGGATTAAAATATGTATTCAAGATGGATTCAGTTATGTTCAATTGTATGCTGGAATTGTTGTTGTAAGAGACAGAGAGGCAGATAAGAAAAGACCTTGACAGAAGTAAGATAACAAGTTTTCTCTGTCTGGTAAGAATTGGGGAGTTGCCAGCTTACAGCCAAAGTGAAACTGATAAGCAAATGTTCTGAATACTGTTTTGTGCTGTGCGTTGTGGTTCATGATGTAGCCTGCTGAGAAGTAGACGTATAGAGATGGATGTACTAAGTAAACTTTGTTATTTTCAAAACTGGCAGACTGCAGTGTCCTGTTTTGTGTCTGTGTGATCTAGTAACCTCAACTCCGCTGCGCGTAGACCCCAGGGTCTCACACTGATAACTTCACCCTCAGTTTGCTACTGATACAATAAATAAATGCGGAGGTCTTTAGCTCTTTCTGCCAAAGAGTGCTGGCACCTCACTAAACTATAATTGTTGTTGAAAGCTTTCATGGCCAGAATCACTGGGTTGTTGTAGGTTTTTCAGGCCGTATGGCCATGTTCTAGAAGCATTCTCTCCTGATGTTTTACCTGCAGGCATACATGTATGGTACTTACTTTGAAAGTGGATGCGGGATGACCACAAAAAACAAAAGTTTTTTGCAGTTTAATACTCTTCTCATGCTTTTGATGATGGAACCGGTTAGGATTTAATGGTAGAACCAATGTTGTATTGCTGATAAAACACTTATAACCCAAGAACAAAAACAGTGTTATGTAGTGTTATATAGCAGAGTAAATTGGACCAAAGGCTGACTGGCCATCTGTTGGGAGTGCTTTGAAGGTGTCTTCCTGGACCAGATGGCCTTTTGGGGGTTTCTTTTTCAACTTATTATTCTAATAATACTAATTTATATTATTATTAGAAAAATATGCTTTATTATTTGAATTACAATGTTTTATTTGGATTAGAACAGGCTTGGGCAAACTTGGGCCCTCCAGGTGTTTTGGACTTCAACTTCTACAATTCCTAACAGCCTATGGCTGTTAGGAATTGTAGAAGTTGAAGTCCAAAACACCTGGAGGAACCAAGTTTGGGCTGCTCTATATGATGTAGAATCCCAAAGCCCCGCCTCCTCTCCGTTTGAGCGACAGCGCGAAGCCCCGCCCACCGCCAGCCTGCTCTATAGAATGTAGAACCCCAAGCCCCGCCTCCTCCCTGTTTGAATGACAGCGCGAAGCCCCGCCCAACGGATGCAGGGCGGGACTTGGCGCCTGGGCGCAAGCATGTAGAACCCCAAGCCCCGCCTCCTCCCCATTTGAGTGACAGTTTGCCCACGCCTGGAGGACAACCTTGGGGTAGGCGATGGTGGGCCCCCTCTTCATGAGCAGCACGAACTCCTCCAGGGTGGGCCTCCGGACGAGGAGCCACTGCCCAGCCGAGGTCCGCAGCAACTGCCCGGGGAGCTTGCCCAGGATCTCTCGGTGCGGCACGGCCCCCCAGGTGCTGTTCAGGGCGCCCTCTGCCGGCGCCAGGCGCCACAGCCTCTTGAACTCCCCAGTCCGCCTCCGCCTGACCTCGGCCAGCACCAGCTCCCCGAGCTGGAAGGGAATGTCCTTGGGAGGCGCCTTCGGGGTTCCCTCGGGCTCCGGCTGTTCGTCCCGCAAGGTTTGGACCTCGGGGGAGAGGAGCTCCTCGGGGAGCAGCCGGCTCAGCCTTTCCAACGGAGACAGCGGTCTTCTTCTCCGGCGTCTCCAGTCGGATTCAGGCCCATCGCTGCTTCCTCCGGAGAAGCCTCGCCAAGGGCTCTTCTCAAAGCCAAAGATCCGAGAGGCGAGGCCGGTCCTCCCGCAGAGAGGCGAGCCCAGCCTCCGCAGCCAGCCCCGCATAGCATCGGATGGCCGTAACAGCGATGCGCTCCCCCCGAAAGCAATTCCGCAAATGAGACAGACAGACGCGGGAATGTTGCCGCTGGGTTAAAACCACGCCCACTCCCTGACGTCAGAGGTGTCTCTAGCCAACCCGAAAACAAGTTCCAAGGATCGCTGTTTGACACTCTCTCTCTCTTTCTCCCCAGCTCTTATTAGGCAGTCCCGAAATCTGGTTAAAGCCCCGCCCACTAAGTGACGTCAGCCACTGTTCAGCCCAATCCGAAAAAAAAGAGGTCTAAGGGAATTTGCATGAGCCTCACACTTCCGGCTCTAATTTGCAGCTGAAAATGCGCGGGGGGAAGGGGGAAATCAAAACAATGTTTTTGCCATGCTGAATGGCTATAAATGTTATAAATTTATAAATGTTATAAATGCTATAAATTGTTATAAATGAAGGCAATAATTACTAGAGGGACTAGATATCTTTGATCATCAGGGTCAGCCTGTTTAGTCCATGGAAGCTAATGCTACAGGGGCTGGTAGAACCCCTTTTGAGTATTCCTTGACCAAGGAAACGGTATGTTCCCTGTTAGTTCTTTGTTTTGTTTCCCTCCTTAAGGAACTAAGTGGTGCTATCAAACCACAGATCTTTTTGCAGGCAAGATCTTGGTGACAACATATGCTTATTCCTATATCTCCATCAGTGTCTTCATATTTATTATTATTATTATTATTATTTGAAACACAACAACAGACAAGATCACTCTGCTGGCTGCTGTATCCTTCCCAAGTGTCTAGAACTGTGTGATGCATCGGCAAATAATATGTGCAGATCCCAGTAAGGTGACCTTCTATAGCTGGCAGATAGTAATTTTGTCAGCACCAATTGTGTTTAAGTGCAGGCCAACGTCTTTAGGCACTGCACCCAGTGTGCCAATCACCACTGGGACCACCTTGACTGGCTTGTGTCAGAGTTTTTGCAGTTCGATCTTTAAATCCTCATATCGTCATATTGTGTCAGCTTTTCTAGTTGTTTCTCTTCAATCCTGCAGTCACCTGGGACTGCAACATCGACAATCCATACTTTGTTTTTTGACACGACCGTGACGTCAGGAGTATTATGCTCCAAAACTCTGTCTGTCTGAATCCGGAAGTCTCAGAGTAGCTTGACGTGTTCATTCTCTGTAACTTTTTCCGGCTTGTGATCCCACCAGTCCTTTGTTGCAGGCAGATGGTATTTGTGGCACGAATTCCAATGAATCATCTGAGCAACGGTGTTATGCCTCTGCTTGTAGTCTGTGCGATCTTCTTGCAGCAGCTCAGGATGTTATCTATTGTTTCATCTGCTTCCTTGCAGAGTCTACATTTGGGATCTGTCGTCGACTTTTCAATTCTGACTTTGATGGCATTGGTTCGAATGGCTTGTCCTTGGGCTGCAAGAATCAGGCCCTCTGTCTCCTTTTTCAAAGTTCCATTATTATTATTATTATTATTATTATTATTATTAAACTTTATTTTATAAGACGTTCAAAACCACAAGGAAAGGAAAGCTATTCTCTCACTCTTGGCTCTTTTGAGGCTTCTCTGGCTAAGAAATAGGATGTTCCAATGGAGACCGGACGTGTAAAGATAGAACCATTGAAGCTTTGACTCTAGGAAGGGCAAACAGAGTTCTATGACGTCTATAACCTGCGACGATCGCATGGTCTCGTTCTAATCCCACGTGGTTGCCCGCCTGCAACTGGGAAGTCCGAGGATTCGCCAGCAGTAGTTATACGTCCTTTTTAAAACATTTCTTTTTACCCCACCTTTTTCCAATGAATATAGGCGGCAGTGGAATCTGCTTCTGAAAGAGTAATTGGGCTCTTTGCTACTGACTCAAAGGCTGCAGTGAATGCAAAACTGAGAAGTGAATATTTGCAAGAACAGGGAGGTGTAAAGCTAAGAGAAGAATTTGTGTGTGTTCCCTTCCAAGGTGTGGGTTTAAGATTTAAACATTCTCACTTAAAAGAGAGCTAATACCCTTCAAAGGACCTGAATACCTTAAAGATCATGTTAGATCTTCAAAACTAAGCAGGACTGGCCCTGATTAATGGCTGGATAAGAGACCACCAACAAATGCCAGAGGCTGCAGGCTGTATTTCAGAGAAAGGAAATGGCAGATAAAAATAATCCACATTATTTGCTTTAAACTGGATTATAAATCTATACTGCTATATAATCCAAATTGGATAACCTGGATTTTATATGGCAGTGTAAATGGGGCCTAAGGAAACCCTGTGACATTAATATTGTCACCATAATTTGACAGGTGACTGGAAGGCTCCCAATAAATACCAAGTGCTGTATTTAGAGGTAGCGTTGCTAAACCACCTCTAATGTGGATTTAAACTTCAAATATTCACACTTTAAATATTCACTGTTCTTAAAGACACTAGATACTGACTGATTTTGGAAACTAAGCGGGGTCATTCCTGGTTAATACTTAGATGAGTAACTGACCACAAATACCAAGTTCTGTAGGCTGTATGTCAGAGATGGGAATTGGTAAAACTGGCCCAACCATTTACCCAGGACCAAAGTCTGGGGCTCCTTCTACACTGCCATATAATCCAGATTGTCAAATCGGATAGTCTATATTATCTGCTTTGAACTGGATTATATGAGGCCCTTCTACCTTGCCATATAAAATCCAGATTATCTGCTTTGAACTGGATTATATGAGACCCCTTCTACACATCTGAAAAAAAATCCCGTATTATCTGCTTTGAACTGGAATACATAGCAGTGTGGACTCAGATAACCAGTTCAAAGCAGATATTGTGGGATTTTCCACCTTGATATTCTGGGATATATGGCTGTATGGAAGGGCCCTGAATCTACACTGCCATATAATCCAGTTCAAAGCAGATAATATGGATTTTGTACAGCAATGTAGAAGGGGCTTCAGTTTGCTGCTGAATCTTGTGGAAGCTCTTGAGCTTCTGATAAGTTTTCTTAATGTGGTTCAAAGCTATGTTAAGTAGCCTTGGCCCACATTGACCCAAATCAGATCTGTCTGCCATGTTGATGCATGTTGATTCCACCTTCCCCTCCCCTTTGGGGTTGAGTGCCTGTGAAGGCATGCCCCCAAGTCAAGGAAGCTGTGACCTAAACATATTGCAGGTTGGAGGAGGCAAGATGACTTTCTGTATGCAGTATGTGTACTTAAGGTTGCTTTCTCTTTATGGGCATGATGAAGCTGTCATCAGAAGTCACTTGTTTTGTAAGGGTAATGAGGATCCACTTCTGCTTGCTTTGAAGAAGTTTTATCTGAGTCACAGATCTCCAGGGCTTAGCCATGCTGAAGATGCTTCCAGTTCCAAACTATTTTTAAGATGGGGATAAAGAATGTGTGCTGTTTGGTTGCAATTCCATCAGTCTCTAGCCAGCAGGATCAATAGTGAAGGGTGATGGTTGTTGCCTTTCTGTGACATCTGGAAGACTGCATTCTGTGGGCCCTTCCACACAGCCCTGTATCCCAGAATATCTGCTTTGAACTGGATTATCTGCCATATCTTCCAGTTCAAAGCAGAAAATGTGGGATTTTATTCAGCTGCGTGGAAGGGGCTCATGTCCAGTTTAAGGCACAGCCCCATTTGGACTAAGCCCTGCCCTCCTCTCAGTGGCTTTGGATCATAAACTTTTTTTAACCTAACCTACTTTATTGGCTTTTTTTGAGAGGAATTGAGAATTCTAGATGTTAACATAATCCTTGGTGAATTGTGCAGATGAAGCACTGTAAAGCAATTAAAAGCAGAAAGTGATAATCCACTTAGACAAGCCCCCAATAGAGCTTACTCCCAGTTAGACATGAATAGAATCACAGGTTAAATTAGGAACTGTAGAGACTCCATCAGATCATCCCATGGAAATACTTTTTCACTTCATCCCTTCATTCAAGATAATTTTTGCATGTTCACTGTATTTGTATTCTGTGTTCCTATTTTTCTGGCTTTGAATAAACAGCTGCTTTGATTATTTTTTGTTATTTGGTTTTTTAATCTGTTGCAAACTGACAAGAGTTCTTCCTCCCACGCAGGACATTCCACAGCTACATAAACCCCACATGCCTAGTTTGCAGCAGACTTCACAACCTCCAAGGATTCTTGCCATAGATGTGGGTGAAATACCAGGAGAGAATGCTTCTGGAACATGGCCATACAACCCAGAAAACTCATAGCAACCTAGTGATTCCAGCCATTTTATTTATCGTGTCATCAGCAACCATACCATTGTGTTACATTTCTAACAGAACAAAACAAACACAGAGATTAAAAAAAACACAGATTTTGCAAGCTTGGTAGTTGGTTAAATGTCCTTTGACCAGTATCTGGCCACTTGGAGTGCCTCTGGTGTTGCCGCAAGAAGGTCCTCCATCGTGCATGTGGCAGGGCTCAGGTTGCATTGCAGCAGGTGGTCAGTGGTTTGTTCTTCTCCGCACTCGCATGCCGTGGATTCCACCCTGTAGCCCCATTTCTTAAGATTGGCTCTGCATCTCGTGGTGCCAGAGCGCAGTCTGTTCAGCGCCTTCCAAGTCGCCCAGTCTTCTGTGTGCCCAGGGGGGAGTCTCTCATCTGGTATCACCCATGGATTGAGGTGCTGGGTTTGGGCCTGCCACTTTTGGACTCTCGCTTGCTGGGGTGTTCCAGCGAGTGTCTCTGTAGATCTAAGAAAACTATGTCTTGATTTAAGTCGTTGACGTGCTGGCTGATACCCAAACAGGGGATGAGCTGGAGATGTCTCTGCCTTGGTCCTTTCACTATTAGCTGCTACTTCCCAGCGGATGTCAGGTGGTGCAATACCAGCTAAGCAGTGTAATTTCTCCAGTGGATGTGGGGCGCAGACACCCCGTGATAATGCGGCATGTCTCATTAAGAGCCACATTCACTGTTTTAGTGTGGTGAGATGTGTTCCACACTGGGCATGCGTACTCAGCAGCAGAGTAGCATAGCGCAAGGGCAGATGTCTTCACTGTGTCTGGTTGTGATCCCCAGGTTGCACCAGTCAGCTTTCGTATGATGTTGTTTCTAACGCCCACTTTTTGCTTGATGTTCAGACAGTGCTTCTTGTAGGTCAGAGCATGGTCCAAAGTGACTCCCAGGTATTTGGGTGCGCTGCAATGCTCCAGTGGGATTCCTTCCTCGTGGACAACAAGTTAAACATGAGCCAACAATGTGATGTGGCGGCAAAAAAAGCCAATGGGATTTTGGCCTGCATCAATAGGAGCATCGTGTCTAGATCCAGGGAAGTCATGCTACCCCTCTATTCTGCTTTGGTTAGACCACACCTGGAATATTGTGTCCAATTCTGGGCACCACAATTCAAGAGAGATATTGACAAGCTGGAATTTGTCCAGAGGAGGGCGACTAAAATGATCAAGGGCCTGGAGAACAAGCCCTATGAGGAGCGGCTTAAGGAGCTGGGCATGTTTAGCCTGAAGAAGAGAAGGCTGAGAGGGGATATGATAGCCATGGATAAATATGTGAGAGGAAGCCACAGGGAGGAGGGAGCAAGCTTGTTTTCTGCTTCCCTGGAGACTAGGACGCGGAACAATGGCTTCAAACTACAAGAGAGGAGATTCCATCTGAACATGAGGAAGAACTTCCTGACTGTGAGAGCCGTTCAGCAGTGGAACTCTCTGCCCCGGAGTGTGGTGGAGGCTCCTTCCTTGGAAGCTTTTAAACAGAAGCTGGATGGCCATCTGTCAGGGGTGATTTGAATGCAATATTCCTGCTTCTTGGCAGGGGGTTGGACTGGATGGCCCATGAGGTCTCTTCCAACTCTTTGATTCTATGATTCCTTCCCAGGTAATCCTCAGAGCTCGGGATGCTTGTCTGTTCTTAAGGTGAAAGGCGCATGTCTGTGTTTTAGATGGATTAGGGATCAGTTGGTTTTCCCTGAAATAGGCAGTAAGAGCACCTAGAGCTTCGGAGAGCCATGAAAACCTTGAACAACACGTCGTGAGTATCTTTGAATCCCGAATCCCCAAACCCCTGGAAGGCTAAAGTTTGCCTATGCTGAGGGAAAACCCCCAAGCCCCGCCTCCTCCCCGTTTGAGTGACAGCGCGAAGCCCCGCCCACCGGATGCGAGGCAGAGCTTCGCGTCTGGGCGCAAGCGGAACCCGTAGCTGGGCTGCGACGAGGGAGGTGCCGGAGCGAGTGCGCCTGCGCAGAGGCGAACACGTGGCCGCTCGCTGGCCTTGCTGGGAGCCTCAGAGGGACGGGCCTGGTCTGGCCTGGCGCGAGGGAAGCGGAGCCATGGCGGCAGCGGCGGCGGCGGGAGACGCGACCTGCGGCTGCGGGGAAGAGGCCTCGATTCCCGCCGGCGGCGGCGTCGTCTTCGTGGCGGGGACGCCGTGCGCCTTCTCCCCCCGCGAGCGGCGCCTCCTGGCGCTCTCGGGCCCGGATGGGAGGCTCCGCGTGTGGGAGACCGACACCAGCAGCCTCCGCCGCCCGCACCGCGAGTACGTGCCCTCGGCCCACCTCAGCGCCGCCTGCACCTGCCTGGCCTGGGCCCCGCCGAGCGGGCGCCGCTCCTCGCCCGCCAAGGTAGGCCTCGCCGCCCGAACCCGCCCATCTGTCTCGGAAAGCTCCCGGGCCCGCTTTCCTCCCGTCACGTGTGAATCGAGCCTACCTGGACGCGTGTCTCTGAGGATGGGGCAGCGGTTTAGTCTAGGAAACCTGGGCCTGGTTGATCTGCGTCTGTAACAGGCCTGGGCAAACTTCGCCCTCCAGGAGTTTTGGACTTCAGCACCCACAACTCCCACAATGTTAGGAATTGTGGGAGTTGAAGTCCAACAAAGTACCCCGAGGGCCGAAGTTTGTCTATAAGGTAGCTCCGCATGAACTGCTCTGACTCCATGATAAATTTGGCAGATAAGGGAAATTTGGCAGAAGGCTAACGGCTTAATAAGGCCTTTAGTCTTCTGCCAAAACGTGCTGGTGCCTCATCAAACTACAACTCCCATTATTCCATAATATTGAGCCATGTCAGTCAAAATGGAATCAAACTGCGGCCCCTTCCACTTCTGAATAAAATCACACATCTGCTTTGAACTGGATTATTTGGTAGTGTGGACTCAGATCAGCCAGTTCAAAGCTGATATTGTGGGATTTTCTACCTTGATGTTCTGGGTTGAATGGCAGTGTGGGCCCAGCATGGATTTCTTCCTATCCGGTTCAGTATCTGCCATTGCAAGCCTCCACCGGGGTTTCCCTGGGCCGCAGCTCCAACACGTGTCTCTGAGGCAACGCGGCTCCGCCCCGCATCTCCTTGAGCGAAGCACTTTCATCCATCCATGTGGGTGAACTCTGCCTCGCCAGCGGTGCCTCTCCACAGCCTCGCCAAAACTACAGCTTCCACGTTCCCACAGTGCTGAGCCATGGCAGTTCAAGCGGTGCTGAAGTGCGTTAACTCTACAGTGTATGCACCCACTGTGGAACTTGTACATTAAGCTGAGGAGGAAAAGGAAAAGGCCTGAGGATGTTAGGAATTATGGGAGTTGAAGTCCAAACCACCTGGGGGGCCCAAGTTTGCCCAGGCCTGTTCTATATTGTAGAATCAATGTAGTTTGACAATACTTTAGCAGCCATAAGTCAGTGCTGTACAATCACGGGAGTTGTAGTTTTAGAAAGTCTTTAGCCTTCTCTTTCAACAACTTCTGCTGCCTCACCAGCACTATTTTCCTTGTAAAACTACAGCTCCCTGATTCCAAAATGTCTAAGTTCCCCGGTGGGTGCATCTGCACTGTAGAGTTAACACACTTCAGCGCCACTTGACAGTCTGAAACTGTTAGGAATTTTGAGAGTTGAAGTCCAAAACACCAGGAGGGCAAAAGTTTGCCCATGCCTGGTATAGATGGACCCTAAGCATCCCTCCAAAGCAAAAATTACACTGGGAGGGCATCCACATTGTAGAACTAATGTAATTTGACAACACTTTAATAATAATAATAATAATAATCATCATCATCATCATTATTTATACCCTGCCACCATCTCCCCGATGGGGAATCGGAGCAGCTTACATGGGGCCGAGCCCGGACAACATATTACAGCAATAAAATCAAAACATAAAAAAAACATAACGACAACATCATCAAAGTACATTAATAATAGTAAGGAAAAAAACACTTAAAATAACATTCTAATAAACATGAGTCAGTGCTATAGACTCATGGGAGTTGTAATTTGATGAGACATCAACTTTCCTTGGCAGAGAAGGTTTTAAAATCCTAATAAAACTACAACCCCCAGGATTCCACAACACTGAGCCATGGCAGCTAAAGTAGTGTCAAATTGCATTAGTTCTGTGATGTCCATTAACCCTTTGTTTTGCTTACTTTACTGTTACAAAGCATGTACTTTACATGTTGAACATTCCTTCTCTGGACTTCCCAAATTGTCCACATGGATGTCTGCCATTAGTGACACCTTTTTTCCGATGGTTCAGTGTCCACAAATTTTGTTTCACATATACAATTATTTAAAAAGGCGGTGTGTACCTTCAGGCTATATATATTATGGTGTATTTGAATTTGGTGTTTAGTTTTGGGTATCATCCCCAAGGTCTGTGTTACGTACACATATACAATTATAGGTGTATCATACTCTGAAATAAATAAAAATTAAATAAAATACATCCAAAATGTTTTGTGTCCCAAACATTTCAGACAAGACATAATAACCTGTGCTATAAAATCTTGACCCATCTAGTGGTTTTTATTTTTCACTTGAGTTCAAAACCTGTTACTCTATCAGACTATCCTAGATGGTTGCAGGTAGAAAATTGTATGTGTTTTTGAGTATGCACCTGTATGAGTTTGTACACAATTCCCAAGTATTGGCTGGCTCCTATTTTATCCTGAATTGAGTTAACCTCAAAATGTTGTTCCTAGGGCCCTTACACATAGCTGAATAAAATCCCACATTTTCTGCTTTGAATTGGAATATATGGCAGTGTGAACTCAGATAACCCTGTTCAAAGCAGATATTGTTGAATTTTCTGCCTTGATATTCTGGGTTATATGGTTGTGCAGAAGGGCCCCTAGAGAAAGGGGACAAGAGGAGAGAGAAATGATTGCCAGTTTCCACATATGCATGGTCCTGATACCACTTTCACTGTTTCAGAAGCTCGCCTTATATTTTGGAGCAGATATTTGGGGGGAATAGAGGACTCTAAGGATAAAGGGAGAGATCAATAAGAGTCATTCCTATCATTCCTTGGGAGCAGGCCCAGTATCATCATTTGAGTGTTGCATTAACACAGGGGTCCTCAAACTAAGGCCCGGGGGCCGGATGCGGCCCTCCAAGGTCATTTACCCAGCCCTCGCTCAGGGTCAAACTAAGTCTGAAACGACTTGAAAGCACTCAACAATAACAACAATCCTATCTCATCAGCCAAAAGCAGGCTCACACTTCCCCATTGAAATACCAATAAATTTATATTTGTTAACATTGTTCTTCATTTTGATTATTGTATTGTTTTTAAGTGTTTTTTGCACTACAAATAAAATATGTGCCGTGTGCATAGGAATTCATTCATGTTATTTCAAATTATAATCCGGCCCTCCAACAGTTTGAGGGATTGTGACCTGGCCCACTATTTTAAAAGTTTGTGGACCCCTGCATTAACACTTTGGAAGACTAGAATTTGAATCCTTGCTCAGCCATGAAAACCCACTGGATAACCTGGGGAAAGTCACATCCTTCAATCTTAGAGGAGAGCTTTGCAAGTTTACTTTGAATAATCTTGCCAAGAAAACCTTATGATAAGGGCCGCCATAAATCAGGATTGTCTTGAAAGCATATAGTGATAAATTAGGAGCTTTCTGAAGAACTATGGTGCATTTTTTTCTGTAGAGAGAAATGTGAAATTAAAGTCATAATGTCCAGTTCTAGAATAGGTAAACATGAAGCCATGTAAGTTAGGGTGCTCTCAAAGATTGGCAGATGTAATGTTTCTTATTACAGTCCCCACGTTACAGACATCCAACTTTTGTGGGTGGGTCAAAAAGTTTTGCCTCCTGTGTCATTAAAACATTATGAACATATAACAGCAGAAGTTGCTACAGATCATAGCCTGAACTATCCTATACACAAAAATACAGTTCAGCATAGTCACCATCAATTTATACACATTTGCACCATTGTTTAACCCAGACATCAAAACCATTTTGGAAAAATTCAGGGGTTTTCTTCATGACCCATGATTTTAAAGCTGTAAAGAATAAAATTGTAAAACTGGTCCCTTCTGACTTTTGCGTATTTGGACAACCTACGTAGTTTCAGATTTAATGGCTTGAATGATGTTAAAATGGCTTTAAAATCATGGGTCACGAAGCAAGAACCTGAAATTTTCCAAAATGGTTTTGATGTCTGGGTTAGACGATGGTTCAAATATGTACAAATGGATAGTGACTATGTTGGATGGTAGTTTCGCGTAGAGGATAGTTCAGGCTATGATCTGTAGCAACTTCTGCTGTTATATGTTCATTCATAATGTTTTTATAATGCAGGAGGCAAAACATTTTTACCTACCCCGCGTACATACAACTCATAGTTAAAAATAGGAGTGAGAGAACAGGAAATGAAAGAAATCCACCCCTCTGAAGGGAAATTTGCTCCTGAAATAGTTTTCATAGGGAAAAGGTGTCTCCACTGAAGATTTATCAGCAATCCTTGTTTCCATAATAAGCTTTTTTTTTTTTCAAAATCTAATTATTACAGGGACAAAAAGTGAGGTGAAATCTTCTGTATAGTGGCACAGGCAACAAAACAATCACCACAAGGATATTAACCCTTCCCTATGCTATCCAAAATTAAATTGTGTGTTTGTGTATGTATAGAGAGAGAGAGACTGGAGTTACACTTAAAATGTATCTGTTCCAACTTACATACAAATTCAGCTTAGGAACAAATCTATAGAACCTATCTTGTTTGTAACCTGGGGACTATCTATATATATCTTCACTATCCCATGAAAGTTTGATCAGTTATTAAAATAAAATAGTCACTACATTTATAACACAAGTTTGTTTATTAGCTTTTCTATAAGCTATGACATGCTGTCAGTCCTTAGAAAATTGAAAATGTGCAAAGACTGCAATTTTTTCACTATTCAGCAACCAAAGCTACCCTTTTCTTTAGACATTTATCAACAGAAAGGCTCAAAGGTAGACAGATTAATTACCCTAATAGTTAATCAAGGGAAAAGAGAAACACAGAAGGTACAATATCACTAGGTTAAATGAGGTTGGGGAAGTAGAACTGTCCTAAGACTGAAATTTGTCAGTGATTGCTTTGAAGTAAATACTCATATTTGGTAGTTAAATTTACATCCTGCCTTTCTCCCTACAAGGAATCCAAGGCAGTTTTGGTCAGCAAGGTAGCTGAATCAAAATATACAAGACAAGCCGCTCATGTTAAGGGAGGTTTGTTTAATCATTAAAAGTAAAAAGCCAGTACACAAGGATCTCTTTCTCTCTCTCATTGGATCTACGTAGTGCTGCGTTGTATGGGCAATATGCAATCGCTTATTAGTAATATGATCCTCTTGTCCTTACAGTGCCAAGGTACTCTTCAATTTTAGCTTAAGGTACAGGAAGCTTCCTGCTCTCCATAAAACTGGTTATTATTGAATTTGCTGTATGGCAGGCAAAATACTTTAAAGTGTCACTTCTTAATACAGTGACCTCACTGGAACACAGTGCTAATCAAGCTAAAAGTCCAAAGGCCAGGTAGCTTGAGAAACACACTAAATGTGGTGAAATATAATTCTCCTTAAACCTATGAAAAAGACAGGTTGGAAATAGCAATTTACACAAAGGCTGAATTCCAAAATACATTTATTTACCTTAAATGAGGCATGTACAGCCTGTAAAATAACAATATCTATGCTTTCTATTTAAGTAAACTCACTACAACAATGGTTATCATCCTTATCTACATCTACAAGTCCTGGAAATGCTTTGTACTAATTCCAGTATTTGGCCAAATGGAAAGGAACCCACTTCCTGAATAATCTGCTGACTTGCTCGGAAAATCCCCCCTAATTATTCTCTTATTTCTTGTATAATTGTGATACTGGAGAAACATTATTAGTGCACTGATAAGTAAAAGTATGATTGAATTACAGTAAGGAAACTTTCCTAAAGTCATATCATGTTGTCAGCTGCAGAAGACCAGAGCTCCGTATCTTTCATATTAAACAGAGCACTTTTCTCACTTAGAAGTGACTGTTGACTTCCAAGTCAGTCTGATTTCCTTACACTTTCAATATATTTTAAGGTGCTTAAACTTCTTAACAAATCTTCCGGGATAAGGAAAATTATGCACCCTGTTTCACATATTCTATCAGCATGAGTGGAGGAGTTTTCACTGACTTTGCCCACTTTGATAATCACTTCTGTTATCCTTTTTACATGGAGGTTGACTAGTCTGAAGGGGAGGTGATTTTTGGAGCTCCAGAGAGGTTCAGATAAGCTTGGTTTGAATTTTGCTTTTTACAGAGAATAAAGAGAGGTCCTTCTAGATCAGTCCTGCACAACCTTTAGCCATCCAGGAGTTTTGGACTTTGGCTTCCAGAATCCATGTCCATTGGACAAGCTGGCCAGGGCTTCTGTGAGTTGGAGTTCCAAACACCTGACCAAAAATAAATTTTGGCAACAAGACTTGTTAACATAGCAAGTAACCCGCCCCACACAAACAACTCTAAGTAAATCTGTGTGGTTTGAGTTGTGCCTTACTCTTACTAATGAGGTGGGAGGTAAGAAGTATTGTATCATGTAATTCATGTTGACATTCTTGTGTTGCCTGGGCTTGAAAAATGAAGAGTTGTTTTCGTCCTAATGTGGCTGGGAAGGTAGGCAGAATATTTTGAGCTTGCTTTGAAGAGGGAAAAAATACAAAAAAACCCCATGAATTATTTTAAACCTGTACTTTAAAAGCTCCATAGGGCATTTGAACCTTACGGAAATAAAAAGTATCACCAGAAATTGTCTCCTTTGAATAAAAAAACAAAGGTGCTAAACTCGTATGTTGGCTTTGTTTTATGCTTCTTTTTGAAAAGATGCAGAGATAAAAAGAAGGTTCCGAATCACTTGCATTAAGGTGTGAACAGCTTTTTTTTCATGTGTCTTACAAATATTATTTTATGTGCCCAGTAAAGCTGCTTTCTCTTGTTTGACTTTATTAACTTATTTACAGGAGGGCCCGCAGAGAAAGAAGAGGAAATCTGAAGCAGTAGAAGCAGGTGAACAGTTAGATCTTTTGGCTATTGGTACCGCAGATGGCAGCATTTTATTATACAGCACAATAAAAGGAGAATTACAGAGCAAATTAGTAAGTATTACTTGCATTGTCATTTTTCTGTTGCAACCATAAATTAGACATTTTGTTAGCATATACGGTTAAAATAGCTTGATTGTCCTTGATGTAGAATGGTTAAAGAATTTCCTGTGTATATTAAGTATAATCAGTTAATATCTTTTCTTTTTTTCCAGCAGAGAATTCAAGGCATCAAATGTAGAAATGAATTTTGTAATTCTTTGCTATAATACCATAGAAATACTAAATTTCTGTCTCTCTAGAGAAATATAATACAAAAGCAAAAAGAAGCTGCCTTGGGTCCTATGTTGGAAGAGGGACAGGATAAACAAACAAATAAATGAAATGAAAAAGCATCTTTTTCATTTAATGGGTGTAGAAAATTGAGAGAATATAACCTTCAGAGAAGGTAATGTAGAGTGTATGTAGTTAATGTTTCCTGACACTTTGAATGTAGTAGTAATACTTTTTTATTCTAGAAAAAGTATTTTTAACTTTGTAAAAGTTTCCCCTGACATTAAGTCTAGTCATGTCCGATTCTGGGGGTGGTACTCATCTCCATTTCTAAGCGGTGTTGTCTGCATGACTGTGTGGAGTGCTGTTACTTCCTGCAGGAGCGGTACCTATTGATCTACTCACACTTGCATGTTTTTGAAGTTGGCTGAAGCTGGGGCTAACAGCGGGAGCTAACCCTGCTCCCCGGATTCGAACCACCAACGTTTTGGTCAGCAAGTTCAGCAACTCAGCAGTTAGTCTCGTTGTGCCACCAGAGGACAGGTTTTGTATTAATTTGTTTAAATAAAAATCAATTAAAGAAAAAAGGGATGAGGAGGAATGGCCAAGGAACTGAGCATGAGTTGTTCATAATTGAACAATAGAAGTCATTTAGGTTTTTGCTTTTGCTGCACTGTACTCTGGAGGGATTTTTTTCCTTTAAAAATCCTCTGGGTAGAAAAAAAATATTGCTGCTAATGCAAAAAAAAATTAATAAGAGAATGGCAAAACATCCCACAAAATCCACAATTAGACAAGCAGAAATGCTTAACAAGTCTGTTGACTTTTGCGTTCTCAGGAAATCTTTTATCAGGTTAGTGTTACAAACTGAGCTGTGTATGAAGTAGAGAAGTTAAACATGTTGAAAATTTTGGCTTCATGACCACATTAATGCTCCTGTTCCCATGTAAAAGAAAAAAAGAAAATTGTACTGAGTGAGTTGTGTATTATTTTCCGATTCCAGGAGATATCCCAACGTTAAGGATTAAGGAATAATGTAAACCTTTTGTATAACCCAAGGAGAATTCTAGTACCTCCATGAATTATGGTAATATATAGATTTCTTCTTCACTACTTCATGATGTGTCAAAAAAACAAATAAACAAAAACCACATGGGATTTTTTTGTCCTATTATTTATATAGGGGACCCCCTGTGGCACAGTGGGTTAAACCGTGGACTTGCTCAACATGCTGACCATGTTGGCAGTTGAAATCCAGGGAGAGGGGTGAGTTCCCGCTGTTAGCCCCAACTTCTGCCAAACTTGCAGTTTGAAAACATGCAAAATGCGAGTAGATCAATAGGTCGCCCTTGGGGGCTGAGAATTGCGGTATACAAGTGCAGTAAATAAATAAATAAATAAATAAATAGGTACCATTTCTGTGGGAAGGTAACGGTGCTCCATGCAGTCATGCTGGCCACATGACCTTGGAGGCGTCTACGGACAACGCTAGCTCTTCAGCTTAGAAATGGAGATGAGCACAACCCCCCAGAGTCGGACACAACTAGACTTAATGCCAAGCGAAAACCTTTACCTTTGATACTATATAGGTTGTGGCAAAAAAGTTTCTCAGTTAGGAAAATCCTTATGTTTATTAGAACATTTTAAAATTCTGACTGGTTTTTTTTTTTTGAAAACTAAAATTAAGTAGCAAGTGAGTGACTCTGAATGATGTTCTCAACTGTTCAGGTGCTGCAAAATGCCTACTATGTAGGTCTAAATCTCAGTTGATTCTACAGCAATACAGTTAAAATGCTCCATATTGATATATGAGAGTTAAGATAATTTCCAAGATGGAAGTTGCAGGCATAGTTACCAATACTTGTACAAGTATCAAATTACACTTAGCAGTGCATACCAGGATAGAGAAGCAGTAGAAACACACCTCTATCTAGTGAAGCAGTGGAGAGCTCTTGCCCTATCCCTAGCATGTCTGTCCTCACCACCTTTCTTCTCAGGTAATAAATAATGTGTTCTTACATGGAGAGAAGGGCAAGAAAAGATAAGCAGTGAGTGTACTCAGATTCCTTGTTTAATTTAATCTCCTTTCCAAGTGATCGAAGATATCTGTACTTGAACATATGTGCCTGTCTATTTCAGGTTTGTGGAATAAAGTAATTCTTCTAATTTTTCATGGATTGGAATGAAATAGCATGATCGTTTTACCGTCTTGAACTGTAAAGTATCTTAGGGTGCATCCGCACTGTAGAAAGAATGCAGTTTGACACCACTTTAATAGCCATAGTTCATTATTGAGTAATCCTAAGAGTTACCGTTTGGTAAGGCACCAGCACTCTTTTGACAGAGAAAGACTAAAGATATTGTAAAACTACAAGCTGCATTCATTCTACAGTGTAAATGCACCTTTAGTCACGCAAAGAAAGCATAGGTTGGTCCACTCCCAAAGTATGATATTGATAATATTGCTGATACTTTCTTTTCATCTAGAGTGGCCATGACAATAAAGTTAACTGTGTACGGTGGCACCAGGACAATGGTTGCTTGTATAGCTGTTCAGATGACAAAAATATCGTGGAATGGAACATACGGACGTGCAAAGTAAAATGGTGAGCCTGGCTTCATACTTAGGATAGACAGTTGGTGTACTCCATTTTTTTTCACTATTATATCTGGCTTATTTTGAAAATCTGTGTATTTTCACATTCAACACTTGAATACAAAAAGGCAACTATTGTCCTCCATCCTTTGAAAATGTTTTTAGCTATGTGTCAGATTGCTGTTGAACAGATCATACATAGTTTCTAATTGCTGAACACTGTCCTTTTTTTTTTTTAAGAGAATCTAAGTACTGTCTGTTTCCGTAGAGGTGCCAGTAATGAAGACTCCAAGACTAATAGATTATTTATTGTAGTAGATTATTTAATTCAAAGGGAAATGTCAAAAAATTAATACAAGATAATAGATATAGTTGATGGTATGTGAGAAAGGCTGAAACATTAAACTTATATTATGATGCACAAAATATCCCTATTTCATGTCATAAATACAGTCAAGGGAGAAAAGGTGGACTCAAATGTACTTTAAGCATGGCAGTTTCAGTACTGTCCAAACTCTATTACTTAATATTATTATTAAGTAATAGATTAGTAATTATTAAGTATTATTATTAATATTATTACTTAAAATTACTTAATAGAGTTTCGACAGTATTGAAACTGCCTTGCTTAAAGTGCATTTGAGTCTACCTTTTCTCCTCCGACTGTATTTATGATATGAAATAGGGATATTTTGTGCATCTATATATATAAATCTGTTAGGTTGGTTCAACGGGACAGCAAAACTCCACAACCCCCCAACGAAACTTAACCAAAATTCCCATGCCCATAACACAACCCACAAGGTACAAACCTATCTACTCAAAATGAAAAACAACACAACAACACACTCACAAAACGGCAAAACAACAAAACTCAAAAATCCCCCAACGAAACTTAACCAAAATTCCCATGCCCATAACACAACCCACAAGGTACAAACATATCTACTCAAAATGAAAAACAACACAACAACACACTCACAAAACGGCAAAACAACAAAACTCAAAAATCCCCCAACGAAACTTAACCAAAATCCCCATGCCCATAACACAACCCACAAGGTACAAACATATCTACTCAAAATGAAAAACAACACAACAACACACTCACAAAACGGCAAAACAACAAAACTCAAAAAACCCCAACGAAACTTAACCAAAATTCCCATGCCCATAACACAACCCACAAGGTACAAACATATCTACTCAAAATGAAAAACAACACAACAACACACTCACAAAACGGCAAAACAACAGAACCCTCTGCGGAAGCCATGCCCACTCCAAGCCCCGCCGTGCCGCTTCCCGCACACACACACCCCCGCCGCACGCACACACACAACCCCACGCTCCATCACTCCCCCCGCCGCACACACACACGCAACCCCACGCTCCATCACTCCCCCCACTGCCACACACACACATGCAACCCCATGCTCCATCACTCCCCGCCGCCGCACACACACACACGCAACCACACTCCCCCCGCCGCCGCACACACACACGCAACCCCCACGCTCCATCATTACCCCCGCCGCCGCACACACACACGCAACCCCACGCCCCTCACTCCCCCCCGCACGCACACACACGCAACCCCATCCCCCCGCCGCCGCACACACACGCAACCCCCTCCATCACTCCCCCTGCCGCCGCACACACACACAAACCCCACGCTCCATCACTCCCCCCGCCGCCGCACACACACACGCAACCCCGCCGCCGCACGCACACACGCAACCCCACGCTCCATCACTCCCTCCGCCGCCGCACACACATACACAACCCCACGCTCCATCACTCCCCTGCCGCAATCTTACCTCCTTTTACTTCACGCCACCTCCAAACCCCACCCCGCCCCTTCCCGCCCTGTCAAAATCCAGGAAAGACAGGAAGGAAGGAAAGAAGGAAGAAAGAGAAAGGGCGGTAAAGAAAAAGGGGGAAGGAAGGAAAGTTAGAGAAAGAAGGAAGAAGAAAAGGAAAGAAAAGGAAAGATGGAAGGAAAGAAAAGAGAGACAGCAGAAGAGAAAGAAAAAGGGGGAAGGAAGGAAGGAAAAAATGAGAGACAGAGGGAGGGGAGGGAAAGAAAAAGGGGGAAGGAAGAAAGGAGAGAAGGAAAGAAAAAAGGGAATGAAGGAAGGAAAGAGGAACAAAGAAGGGGAAGAGAGAGAAAGAAAGAAGGAGGAGGGAAGGAAAGAGGTAGAGAAGGAAGAAATGAGCGACAGAGGGAGGGAAAGAAAAAGGGGGAAGGAAGGAAGGAGAGAAGGAAAAAAAGGGAATGAAGGAAGGAAAGAGGGAGTGAAGGAAGGGGGAAGATGTAGAGAAAGAGGGAGGGAGGGAAAGAAGGAAAGAGAGAAGGAAGAAAAGAGACCAGAAGAGAAAGAAAAAGGGGGAAGGAAGGAAAGAGATAGAGAAGGAAGAGGAGAAGGAAAGATGGGAGGGAAGGAAGAGAAGGAAGGAGGGAAAGAAGGAGAGAAAGAGGGAAGGTTGGCCACAGCAACACGTGGCGGGTAAAGGTTGTTATTTCTATTATTATTATGCTATTATTCCTATGAGACCCTGGGGGAATGGGAGAGGTGTCAGGTCCCAGAGGCAATGCATTGCATTATTGTTATTGTTATGATGGTGGTGAAATAAAAGGAAATAAAAAGAGAAAGAAGGAAGCAAACAGGGAGGGAAGAAAGGCAAAGGAAGAAAGGGGGAGGGAATGAAGGAAAGAGAGAAGGATGAAACCAAGTAGTGAAAGAAGGAAAGAAAGAAAGAGGTAGAGAAGGAGAGAAAGGGGGAGGAAGGAAGAAAGGAGGGAAAAGGGGGAAGGAATAGGTAGGTACCTCTCTTTCATAATAGGCCAGATATCTACCTCAACTTTGATAAGTTTTACTATAGGCCACAGCAACGCGTGGCAGGGCACAGCTAGTCATGATATAAAAGTCATAGCGATAGATAGATAATAGCTGCTTATGATACCTCATATGGTACACGTATATGAAATAAAGTCAGGCATCTCTGCACTGAATAAAACTTCCCCATTGTGTTTATAATTTAGCCACTTGTGTTGTTGTCAAATATTTGTTAAGAGAAATACACTGCTGTGATGATGTCCACCTGGTTTCGCTCACTTCTGATATGTGGTGAGGACAGTTTCCTCTTGGCTGTCTGAGCAGGCTGGGTAGAAAATTTAATCTTCCTGGTAAGAGTTAGATGGTATTCAGCAGTACAATACCATCTATAATACTCCTGGTAGGAGTTAGATGGTATTCAGAAGTATAATATTTGAGTAGGATGAGCTGGAAAATTAAATGTAATGTTTTGCTGTATGTCATCACTTTTAACATGGAAGTGGCAAGAAAGAACAGCATTCATATTTATGGAGTTTAGAGTCTTACATTTCTGAAAATGTTTGTGTGTGTAGTTTCAGCCCCAACATGACTTCTGTAAGAAAACAAAAAAATGATCAAATAGCAGTTAAAATTGGGAGTGCTCCTGTTGCCAGATGTTTCCACTTTCAGCTGAAGTTGTTACCTGTTTACCCAGGTGTTTTGTTGTAAAATTTCCTAATTGTTAGCTAAGTGAACTACAACTAGACATTTTTAATTAATGTTTTAATGGAGTTTATATTTTTATCATTCTACCTTTTAACCTATTTTTATTGTGAGTTATTTTGAAGTTTTTAAAAGTATAGTGGCATATAATTGTTGGAAATAATAAATTTATAAATGAATAAAATTAAAAAGTACAGGCAAATATAGCAGAAATAGATGGAGTTTGCTCCCACCAGGGTAAGTGATACAGAATTGAAGTTTACATGGCTGCTGAAATTCTACATGTATCTGTGTTAAATTTAATGTATGAATGTAGCCCATTGATCATATATGGTGAAATATTTTTAATGAAAGAATTCTGTATTTTAACTTAATTTTCCTCCATACCTTTTTGCTCCGACATTCTAAATGTATAAACTCTCAATTTTTACTCCCAATTTCTCAGCAAATGGAAAGGAGATAACAGCAGTGTGAGCTCACTGTGCATCAGTCCTGATGGAAGGATGCTTCTTTCAGCTGGTCGATCTATCAAATTGTGGGACTTGGAGACCAAAGAAGTCTACAGAGTATGTATTTGGGTTTGATGTAAAGAGGGACAGAGAAAAATTTGGTTGCTTCATTTCATCCCATTTAATATAATTGAAGGTGACTGCTGGAAAAACTGCTGTGATGATACATGGAAATGTGGTTTCAACTGGCTGACAGTTGAGTGAGGACAAAAAATTCCTTGGCTGTGTCTGAGCACTACCAGCAGCTCTTAAAACTAGACTAAGTTAATAAAAATGCACAAACTACATCTGTTTGTAAAATGTTACTGGTTCCAAAACTAATAAGTTGGATAAGGCATACATTGGGTTATGAACAAGATAGTTTCTGTAGATTTGTTTCTAAGTTGAACTTATATGTAAGTTGGAACCGATACATTATTTAAGTGTAACTCCAGCCATATCTATAGATATAGACACACATACACACACACACACATACATACAGAGTTTTGAATAGCATAGGGAAGGATTAACACCCTTGTAATGTTTGTTTTGCTTTCTGTGCCACTGTTCAGAAGATTTTACCTCATTTTCTGTCCCTGTGATAATTGGATTTTGAAAGTTTTGGGTTGTTCTGGAAAGAAGGACTGGTGATAACACTTCAATGGAGACACCTTTTCCTCCATGATAACTCTTCCAGGAATGGAATTTGCCTCCCAAGGGGTAGATTTACTCCCAGTTCCTATTGTCTCATCCTCTTTGATAACTAGGAATCGTATGTAAGCCATATGTTTGTAACCTAGGGACTGCCTGTATAACAATAAATTAATTTAAATGCTAACATAATACAAGAAATGTGACCTTTCTACATCATTTAACAGTTAGAAATCTGCTTGAGCGTTAAGATCTTGTAAGGAATGTTCAGTATGTCACAAAAGAAACTACATATATAAAACTGAAACAAAAAAACAAAACAAAACACAACAACCCAGAGTGACCAGCTATCTGTGGTTACTCTTGTTTTGTTAGTTTTACATAGTTTCTTCTGTTACACACTGAAAATTCCTTACAGGATCTTAAAGCTCAAGCTGGCTTATATGAGCAAATACATTGCAATCCTCTTATCCATGGATTCCAAAAAATATCCTCCCCTAGTTCCACCCTAAACTGCTTGTGGGCCTCTGTAGATCATGCAGTGTGATTCTTTTCGGTTCTGCCAGTCCAAGTATAGTCAGAATATAGGGTTTGCTGTGAACTATGGTTCTAGGTATCCACAGGGAAGGTGGGGACCCTGATCCTTTTGCAGTACACAGTGAAATTGTTATACTCAATGCCAGGCTATGTACTGCTGTAAGTGGTACTGTGACAAGCCAATACAGAACATTGAATAACATCCCGTTGCGCCAATTGCTGTTTCGTGTCGACTCCACAAATTCACAGCCTCGGTCTCCCAACAGCTGATGTTTGGAAGATGTTGAGAGACTGAGGCTGTGAGTAGCTTGCTGAGCTTTTCAACAGGATCATCACTGAAGGCAGGACGCTGGACATCTGGCAGACTAGTGTGACTGTGCCCATCTGGAAGGGGAAAGGAGATGTTTGCTAACTGCTCCTTGTATAGACCAATCGCTTGCTCTGTCATACTATGAAGATCTTCGAGCGCATTCTAGATAATCAGTTGAGGCATATTGTCATGGTGACATCAAATTGGTGTGGCTTTGTAAAGGAGTGTGGGACCATCGTCACCATTCATGCCACCAGACTTTTTATTGAAAAACATCGGAAGAAGAACTGTAACATCCACTCTGCACTTTTAGATGTCGAGAAGGCATTTGACCGGGTTCCACATGATCTTATATGGATGGATTGTGATCACAAAGAGTACCGGAATAATACATATGATGGACAAAGATGCTGTATACAAATGCAACACGTGTAGTAAGGTGCATGGCAGAAATCAGCAAGCCCTTCCCTGTTTGAGTCTGGGTCCATCAAGGATCAACTCTGCGTGGATGAAATCACCAGAGACATACAGAAACCGCATCCTTGGATGCTACTGTATGCTAATGATTTTATGTTAGATGCTGAATTGCGGATAGAGTTGCAGACTCAAGTGTAAGTGTGGAAAAATCATCTGCAATATTTCAGACAATGGCTCAACATCTCAAAAACTGAGTAATGGACTGTGGACCAATGTTAGAGGTTTGCTCCATCAATATCAGTGACACTGACCTCAGCAAAGTGACCAGCTTTAAATATCTTGGTGATGTACTGTCGTATGCTCATGGGTGTGTAAATACCGGATGAATGAAGTGGAGAGCCTAAAATTGAAAATCTACAGGACGGTGGTGAAACTGGTTGCTCTATACACCACTGAATGCTGGTCAGCCACTATGGCCATCAAGCAAACTACACACACTATGGAAATATGGATGCTCAGGTGGTAAATGGATGTTACCCTGAAGGACAGGATTCCATACAGTGCGCTTTATCTTCAGAGTTGTTCTGATCACCAAGAAGATGAAGGAATCTCACCTGAGATGGTTTGGACATGTCGAATGAAGTGATGAGGGTTCTGTGGCTAAAATCATGCTGAATATGGATGTTGCAGGTGCCAGGCCATGCAACAGACCTAAAACACACTGGCTTGACCATTTGAAACGTGATATGGCTGAAGCAAGACTCACAATTAGAGACATGACAGATACGAACAAGTGGAGAACAAAAAGCAAACTACTGGACCCTGTGAACTCGTGGGACAAACACTAGGAAGACGAAGAATGAAATTGTTCCTCTGTTTTTTCCCTGTTGTTGATCACGTGAACTGGGGATAAATGTGTACAAATGCAGTCCCTCTGATTACATAGAAATTGCTAGATGTTTTTCTCTATCTTAAGGTGTATTAACACATTATTAGAAAGAACCAATTTCTAGTATATGTCCTGTTCCTCTCAGAAGCCTGTCTTATTCAACCTGTTCATGTTACATTCCTTGAACTCTCAGGAATGATTAATGGGCTGGAGTAATATAAAATAACATCACTGTGAGAGCTGAATCTAATCTACTGAAAAGATTTCTTAAAATGATTTGTTCGGCCTCACATATGGAATTGCAGCCCTCTTCTTTTGATAGAAAATTCATTATCAATTTATTTCTTCATTCATCTCAAAGACAGAAGTTCGACTTCCAACTGCAGGTTAAAAGCTTATTGCTTTTGGATTTAAAAGCGGTTTTCTTTAATACGTCTTTCTTTCATTCCTGAGCTTTTCTCCTTTCCTTCCTAAAATTTCTTGGCAAGAAAGTCGTTAATATTGTTAGAATCTATTTCTAAGTAAATGTGTTTGAATAGAGTTGTTAATTGGAGCTTTTGGTTTCAGTTTTTTTACTGTGAGTTGAGCATTGCAGTGTCACTATATTAGTTGACTTGATCAATCTTAAAAATGAAATTCCTTCTTTAGCATTTCACAGGACATGCTACAGCAGTTTCAACGCTTATGTTCATCACAGAACGGCCTCTGAATGAAAACCAGCCCTTTGATGGAATTACAGGGCTCTATTTCTTATCTGGAGCAGTGCATGACCGGTTACTCAGTGTGTGGTATGTATTTTTTCTCCTGGCTCTAGTAATCAGTTCGTAATAAAGAAAGAAAGTGTTCTGTCGAATAGGTATAATATGAAATGAGCCTTTTGCTCTTTGGAAGTTCAGTATAGAAATACATTTCCACTGCTGCCTGTGTGTATGCTACATGTATTACATTGCAGAGTGCTCCTTTTATTTTTCATATCAAGTGCAATTTTCTTAAGAAATGTGTTTTCCGTGAAATAGGTATATTAGTACATTCTGTTTTGAATTGTTCTGTTTTATATCAAGGCAGGTGAGATCAGACAGGAAAGAAAAGAACGCCGTGATGAATTTCACAGTAACAGATGAACCAATTCATATTGATGTGACGATATCAGAAAGCAAAGAGGAGGTAAGGAGCATAGCTGATGTTGGGACTTTATAGGAAGCAGGTTTGCTTAGATCTCATCTGTTTGATGTAATCATCAGAGTAAATGCATAAAGTCAGTAGTTAAAAAGAATCTGGTTTGAAAGGCAAGTTGGGCTTTGGTACAAACGAACACCTCCAAAGTGTAAACATGTATTTAAAATGAATTAGGTTTTCTCAGGCATATCCAGTAAAGGATTTGCATTTTATGTAAAACTACCATATGTTATACAAGTTTTGTTCTTAGTTTATAAATGTCATTTCTGTGATAAAAACATGGAAAAAGTGTATTAAACTGCAAAAACTCTGTTTTTGCGGAACATCGTGCACATTTTGCTATAGTTTTTGAGTGAATATCTCATAAGAGTCTCAACCAATTCAGCATAGTTTGTGGCAGCCACATAAATAAAGTTTCTGGCGTATAACAACTTTCAAAGTAAGTACCTCACAATTAAACATGAAATAACACTTTTCAACTCAGGAACAGATTTTTTTCCAAATTTGTTACAGAGCGTAATGTTATAATTTTATGTAGCAAACACTGCTATTTTAGTTTTGTTTATACATTGTTTTGCATTATTATGTAAGTTTATTTGATTGTTGTAAGCCATTTTGAGTCATTACATGGTGTAGGAAGCTAGGATATGACTCCTCAAATAAATAAAAACTACGAGGCCCATTTGTTCCTCTGTTTACCTAAGCTCTGCAGTGTGTTTTTAGGACATTAATATTTTGAATCAAAACAGACAATGTGTAAAAACCTCCAAATCTTGCTTTGAAAAGTTCTGAATATCTTTGTAACTATTCTGAATCAGTTTGCTTAACAGTAAGCACAATTTTTTTTAGACGAGTTTATTTCATAATTAGCTATGCATGTATTTGTAGTTCTAGAATTTAGATTACTTTGCTTAGTAAATCCCCAAACAAGTATTCTCTTTGTATGCACAATTCCTTTAACAATTGGGCCTTGTGTTATAAAATGAACATTTCAGAATGAGAATCATGATATGAATTGATCTGTCTGGCTTCTTAAATAATTAAAATAACTTATTTTTAGTTGTGTTGACTTTGCTAAATATCCAGATTATTAATTAAATTGTACTTTGCCTCAGGAGCCCCAGTGAGCTTATAGGTAATGAACAAATGTCTTAAATATGTAATGGAATCTAATGTAATGTAATTATATTGGTCTTCAGAACTGAATGTGAGTTCATTCTTTTCAGCCAGTGAAACTAGCAGTTGTATGCAGAGATGGGCAGTTGCATGTATTTGAGCAGGTTTTAAATGGGTAAGTTGATATTTAAATACATTTTGCTTTGGATTCTGTGTCTCCAGAGTCTATAGATGTAAAGTGAGGCAAATCTCAGTTGGAATGAGTTATTGGTAGTATTTGAAACACTGTAAACAGCCGCGGTAGTTGTAAAATGATGAGAATACAGCCAGTCCCTGAGTTACAAACACCTGACTTACAAAGGACCCATAGTTAAGAATGTGGGTGAAACAACAGGAAGTGAGAGAAATCTACCCCAGGAAAGGAAATTCACTCCTTGAAGAGCCCCTGGTGGTGTAGTGGGTTCAATCCTTATGCTGGCAGGACTGAAGACCGACAGGTCACAGGTTCGAATCCAGGGAGAGCGCAGATGAGCTCCCTCTATCAGCTCCAGCTTCCCATATAGGGACATGAGAGAAGCTTCCCACAAGGATGGTAAAACATCAAAAAAAAAAACATCCTAGCATCCCCTGGGCAACATCCTTTCAGATGCCCAATTCTCACACCAGAAGCGATTTGCAGTTTCTCAAGTTGCTCCTGATACGAAAAAAGTGGGGAAAAGGTATCTCCATTGAATAATAATAATAATAATAATAATAATATAATTTTATTTCTTAGCCGCCTCTCCTCATGACTCGAGACAGGTTACAGCATTGCTAAAACACATAGTCAGCTTTATCACCAATCCTTGTTTCCACATTAATTTTTTAAAAGCCAATTATCACAGGGACAAAAAGTGAGGTGAAACCTTTCAAGCAGGGGCACAGACAACAAACACCACAGGTGTTAACCCTTCCCTATGCTATCCAAAGCAGGCATGCATACACACACACATATATATGTAGTGTTACACTTAAAAATGTACCTGTTCCAAGTTACATACAAATTCAGTTTAAGAACAAACCTACAGAATTTACCTCGTTCATAACTTGGGGACTGTATAAATCAGAGATTATAAGAATACTTTTAAATTACGCAGGAAAGTGTGTAAAATGTAAATATTTCACAGTTCATATGTTCTTTGTCGTCTTTCTCCTTTGCAGATACTGCAAAAAACCATTGACATCGAAATGCACAATCCAGATAGCCACACCTGGAGATAGTAGTGATTCCACGCCAAAACCAGTCCCTATTTTAGCAGCGGCATTTTGTCCAGATAAGGCATCATTGCTCCTTGTCTATGGCAACTCCTTACAGCCTGTTCTTGAGAGAGTGGTATGTCTCACCTTTCTGAAGCTCAAAGTCGAATGATCAAATAAACACATTAAAAATGAAGAAGCTATTGTTATGTGCTATGCTTTATCACATAATCTTTGTGAT